GGTTATTTGCTTCAAATTGCATGTTATAACCAGTAATCATCACTGACAGAACGCAGACAATAACTGCATATATGGAACACACATATATGCAGCTGCATATAACAAACATCCACGGAGAATACTGACTGCATATACGGGTACTGTCACTGAGTATAGTTGCTTATATTCAGACATACTTTGCATATTTGCTGTTTACTTGTGATTATATGCAGCGCTGAAACTGCATATACCTGCTTATTTGGGATAAACAAATATAAGCAGTTGAGTATACTATATATTATAAAAATTAAAACTGATTATATTTGTATATGATCTGCATATATGCCACTTTTCATGAGTATTTCTGCATATTTTGAGATAAGTAATATGCAGCATGTGAGTATATTGAGACATGCACAAGAATATAAACTAACTACATTAGCATATATAGAGTCAAGATCGGTATGTTTGACATATTCTTGCTTATTTAGGAGGACTGGTAGACACTGTTTTGTGAATTGGGCATAAACACCTGTTAATGTAAATTCCTATTTATGAGCATTTGAGTGTTGTAGCTATAGGTTTGGTTTACTGTACTTGTTTTTTGAGGTAAGCGATTTGAAAAAATTGCACATAAACAGCTTTTACGTTTTTTATAATTTATTTTAAATTTCTTTAGATTTCTATGTACAGAGTAGGCCAATTCGACGACCTCTATAAGTAATAACTTCAAATAGTATACATGTCATGATATAGGGAGAAAATCATTGTTACAACTTATTAGCCCCGTGAAATAATATTGCTTGAAGATGGGAATGTTTTGATCCACCTTTCATATCGCTTGATACATATATAGACATATTTACATTGCACTGTAATTATATTTCTTCCTTTAAATGATACATAATTATTGTAGGCAAAAATATGAATGCCTATTTCAAATCATTGAAAATTATATTCTCTCTCGAATGATAAGCCTAATAATGATTTTACTTTTAAATGGATTTACTCATTATGTTTTGGCCAAAGCTGTACACTGCTAAATGAATATATTTACATTGCATTGTACATGATGTAACATTATATTTCTATCTTTAAAATGGTGCGAACTAATGCTCCAAATCAATGTACGCATATTGCTCAATCTTGAAAACGGTGTTTTTTGTAGCAAGATATGGCCTGTCTTCCGGTAGCAAATTCTCGTACGATATCGAATTCTGCTTTCTTCATTCAAACTCCTTTCTTCTTCATCCTAGTGTCTTCTACACGTTTCTCAATATCTATGTAAATTCAGCTATCACATGGATTCTATTTTGCGGGAAATTTGACACTGCACACAAAGACACTGCTCTGAAGATACTCCTCTGAAGATACAAAGACACTGCTGTGTATTTTAATCAATGATACAAAGACATTAGTTTATAGCATACTGTTCAGCCATACAGTATCATGGACCTTCCAAGACAATCAATTTATTAAATTATCAAGATCAATGCCAAATCTTATGTTTACAACAATTTGCCAGGTGTCTTTATTGTGTTTTTTTCATTATCAAACTCAATCATCTATCCATTAAGGGAAATAAAAAGCAAGCTAAAGTTTCACTTACAAGAGGCTTCGTCGTGTTCCTGGGTCTGGCGTGGACCAAATGGCTGACTGGCTAAATTGCGCCATGGGCTTCTAATCAAAAGCCCATGATTGCGCCAATGTGTAGACATTCTCACAGTATGGCTTTATGATTATTTACTACTCAGCAGACATTGGTCATTTGGCAAGCTTAATTTTCCCCTGTCAACCACCCGTGTGCGTGTCACGTACGATTATTACTTGCGCATCATAGCTCGGAGACATGCAGCCTGCTCAATATCCACCCCCTCATTTTCAGTTATTCAATAACAAAATATATTGTTAAAACATAAATACTGCATTAATACTAAATTCTGCAACATTTTGCTGCTATTGAACAGTCATAATGCTGTTTTGATGAACCCATGATTTGACATCTCTAATAAGTAATCTAAACATAAACAATTACTAATTACCTGACACAATTGCACATAGTGACCGGATGTTTGGAGAAGCACCTTGATAGTTGAAACCAGGAATTGTTTTGAATGGTATTTGTGATTAGTATAGAATTACCTTTTCATTCTTAGCATTCAAAATACAAACTAATAATTCACTTTTTGATGTATTCAGTTTTAATTCAAATAACAAGCTTATTCACAGTAAAGCTGAATGACATTCTGATGATTTAAGAATTGTATTAATCTTGCGTCAAGATCATTGACCCCCTCCCGACATAATACATGTATCTCTTTAATAATCTGCAATCAAGAGATTGATAGACATAATTTAATCAGATAAATGGCTTATCTAGTTGTAAAATATTTGTTCGGACCCTTATTTTATACTTGTGTAAGCCTTGGTGTATATTATCTATATGGGGATTCAGCAGGGGATTATTGGGTCAAATGTATTTTCCTCGCTAATGTCTGGGTCACATTTGCTGCGATTCATCGGCCGCTGATTGAGTATTTTGTTCCAAACTGAAATATGGGTTGCAATCAAATGTTTCGAAAGCCATTCACCATGATTTAAGTAGAACATATTATTAAAGCTCTATTTTAGACATTCAATCAATTTAAATCAATCAAGTTTGAATGCGATTGCATACATGTATTTGCAGATGTAGTGTATTTTACTCACATTTTCACATAATAAGAGCTATCATTTGACATGTAATACTGAGTTTTCAATATTTTGATACAATTGTTTATTATTTTGCGATAATTAAAGCTTTAATCGGGGATAGAGATTTCGACAAAGTACATGTACATTTAGTATTACAAGTCAAAAACCGTTTTTACTTTACATCAAAATCCCGGGATCATAATTTACTAGGAACCCAGATGCTAGAGGAAGCAGAAGATAAACTCACATCAAATACGCTAAATGAAATTATTGAAAATATAATTGGTATTCTCAATATTTTATTTCAACAAATGCCTTGATCTCAGATAATACTTTCCCATGGATTTAAAAATCATCCCAGAACTAATTATAGGTAACACCATTGTGCACAAGCCGCCTGATTGCATTACTCGCTAAAATAACATCCTTAGAAGTGAACAATCCAAACATCTGATAATAATGTAGCTAAAGTTCCCCCTCCCGGTATCCATGCCCACCTTGTTCAGTTGTATCCTTAAAATGTTGAACTACCTTTTGCATTCCTTCAGAGATAATCTGTTAATTTCTGAATTTAAAAGAAATTTAATTATACAATGTAGCACGGGGATTTAGAAAAACTGGCTATAGAAATTAATCCATTTAATTATAACAAACGGATTAATATCAGTGAGAACTTAACTCATTTGCAAGAATTGAATAATTAGGGATTAACGTTTTGTGAATGTATTTGGGAATGGAAAACAAAGCAAGGTCCAATTCAAAATAGAAACAAGGGTATCTCTGATCAGGTTTTGTCTCTTCATTCTCATATTATCAAGTTATCAAAAAAAAGATATTTTGATTCACAATACTGCACCGATACATTGAAAAGTACACGAAGGCAACCACATTTGCAATCTATAGTTCTCAAAAAGCAGGGTTATTAAAAGCCAGTTTCAAACTGAAGTTAAAAAGCCGGTTTTTGAAACCCAGTTCCTAAAATTCAAATTAGAATACTATCTTTCTTTTCTATTTAAACTTAAATCAATTTATTATAAACAAACTATCCCGGGCAAACTATGACCAAGTGCATCGGGAATACAAAACTCCTGTAAATGAGTTATATAAGACAATGAAATCAACGCTGATTGAAACATAAACACTATAAAATGATTTAATCTTCTTTCGATTCCATTACCTGTCATATTTTTTCTAAATACCTGCTTTACCGGGAGGAATTTAACATGGGCTTTAATTCAAAGGCAAGAATCACTTATTAAGCGGATTAAAATATGTTGGACGTCGCTCCAGTGATTTATATTTTATGGTTCTGAATTGATGTGCAGATTTTAAATTCAATCAAAAACATGACCAAAAGAGTCTAGACTACCATTTGCTTTGATCATGGGGAATGGAAAACAAAGCAGCGATTTGAAAAAGTAAACAATTGAATTCCTATGCATAATCCATGATTTAATACGAACGGTGGTAACAGGTTGTTAAATTATAATACCTTCTCAGGAAGAATTAGGTTGCATTGACTCTAAAAGTAGAGATAACAAGTTCAGCGGTGTAGCCAGCTATCCGTCGGGGGGGGGGGGATCTCCATTAAAAACATGGGTTTGCACAAGTATTCTTTATTAGCAACTTATTGATAACTACAAGGAATATCTCTCTTTTCCGGTGTGACTTAAAAGGTGTCGAAAAATCACAATTATAGTAAAAATAGATTATTTCGAAATCCATCCTGTAGTCGCTTATTATACACAGGTAAAGTCATATTCATAAAGAACTACGGTACTTACATTCTTTAGTTGTGTTGTTTTATCATGCTTAATAGAAAAATACGCACAAATAGTTCGTTATTTATTTGTATGCTCAGTTATAAAATGAGCAGAGCAACTTAGAAATAGCTTAATATAGTCAGAAAGAGGCAATTATAATGTGTGACTATATTGCACACTTACAGAGTATTGCGTTTGCATATATTTGAGTATTCTTAACTCCACGTATAATCAGTGCTTATTTGTGCTGTTCTACAAATAAAGAGGAGCAATACTTGAATATACAGAGTGTTCCATATATGCAGCGAGTATTGTCTCTGTACTGTCTCTGTTTATATGTGCTGAGTATTTTTGCTGATTACTGCACATAACAAGAGATTCTTACAAATAGACACTGCTTATAACAAAGCAATATTCTCTATTTCATATAGTGGGCTATATACCAAGGTACATTCAGTCTACATAAATCATATCAACGTATACGTATCATTTAAAATTCGTCATTCATTTGTTCATTTGTTATATTCAAGCCAATGATAGAACGTGACGTTATTCTTATTTCAGGAAAAATGATTGTGATGTTTGTAGTTATTATTTCAAATTTGGAAGAAGTAAGATTTGCGACTGTGGCATTGTCGGTAAGTGCCCTTTTCTATACTCGACACGTATCTCGACACGAACCCCCTCCCTAAGTTTTGGATCACTTATCTGTTTATCTTTCGCATCAACATCTTCAAAAATGAATTAAAAGTTTCCAAAACGTATGGGAATATTATATCACCAACAATCAAAATATTCTTCCATATGCGAATTTCCGTGTGAATGCATGTAAAATGGTGTAAAGGAGATAAGACTGTGAAATATACAATGCATGATTTCATAATTGTCTTAGTTATCTCTATGTTGTATCTTGGAATACAATAACTATTGATAAATATTCCAAGGTTATATCGACCTTCTGCTACCTTCAATTGTAAAGTTAATTTTATATGACCTTAGTAGGTGTCACAATAACATCTTTACGTATTTTTTCTGCTTTTAAATGAATATTCTTTGCGAGCAAATTATTCTTTTAATATGGTACCTATATTAATTTTAATTATATACTATCAACATATAGCGAAACATGGAGAATTGTTTTGATATGGTCAATTGCATTGGTCATTTCAAACTGGTTCATGCATGGTCTGTATGGTGCAGGTAGTTGCTCAAGTTCAATGATAGCGAATTCAAAGAAAAGCTAGCGAAACAAGTCAAATCAAATAGCGGCAGCATTAAAACGTCTCCATGTGCAAATGCAGTTCTAAGTGCCAGGGTCCATATATCAAAAAAGAACTATCTAGAAAAAATAATCAAGTAAACTTTGTTCATGAAATTAACACACAAATTAATTAGGTTGATCTTTATTATTGGAACATTTCGAGTAATATCATGAACCAAAAAACAAGAGCAGAGCGTCCAAAGACTTTTGGATCAACCCTCGTATACATCCTCATCGTGAGTAACTAGGGACACCATATTGACTATACTTACTAGGATACGTCTTTGAAAACATTTAACAATCGATGTTTGTTAAGATGGAAATCAGTGATATCGTTTATTGTATGCTATTTTAGACTGCGCAGATTTAGACAAGGTGACTTGTGATGAGGATCCATGCTCCGGTGTGGACACTTCAGATGGTGTCATTTGCCTGTAAGTTTCATTTTCAATATATTTTCACATTTCATAACGAAACATTCGATTGCCTGACATTACTTTGATAAAACTCGCCTCTATAACTTTCGCTAGCAGAAGCCTTCGCAGGATGACTTTCGGCTCATTTCCTTAAAGGAGCGGGATATATAGTTTATATGAAGTTTAATGGTAGCCTTTATTATAATAAGCGTTCAAGCGTTACACCTGTAACTGTTCCATGTTTAATATTTTGCTTTAATGTTCTTGTAGTTCCAACAACTGTGGTGGATGTAATAAAGTTTGTTACCAGAACTGCAGAAGATTATACAGTTGCCCGATGCTAAATAATATTGAATGAATATTTAATGAATAGAATAAACACATCATGAATGAAAGATGTAAAAACAATGGCTGGCTATTCTGTTGCATATATGAAGAGCTTTCCGAAGTTTTTATGATAACTTTAAAACTTTAAGTACTGATGATAGGACAGGTGTCCGACTAGCAAACAATACACCTATCCCAAAATGTTCAGAGCTGAGGAATGCAATAGTTGACACGCTTATCAAATATTCCACTTTGTTTATATTTTTCATTGTACTGGAGGAATCCTGGCCATTTCATTTGTTGAACATTATTCGTTCAATTCAACCTTTCCACCATAACTTATGAGGAACGCACTAAACGAAGTACAGCTTGTGTGTTACACCCCAGGCACATTTTCAACGGCGAGCGTGCGGTCTATCATTTCTGCGGTCAGTAACATTTCTACGCTCGCCGTGGAATTTCTGCGGTCTGATACTCTTGCAGTCACATTTTCTACGGAAGCCGCGTGGCGAGTTTCTGAATTTCTTTTGATTAACGTTAATTCTTCTTTTTATTTTATCTACATCAGTACAATTTGTAAATGTATTTTGCAGTGTTAAGATATACAAGTGCAAGTGAAATATATAAGTTGCTGTGCTATCAATGACCTTACATCAAACAGTATACGTATTTTGTTGTGTTTACAGCAAACATAAGACCGAAAACTGACATAAAATCTGTTTTCAAGGGTACATTACCCATCAAACCCTACAGCAGACGCAAGTCAACGGCAAACCCGACGTGCGGTCACCGTTGGACCTTTTTGCGGTCTGGCAACGGCCTGTTGATTTCTTCGGGGACCGCAGGAAATGAACAAATATTATAACTCCGAGTTATAATTTTATAATTTCTACGGCTACCCTGCGGCCTGTAAAAACTGGATGCCGAACGGAGACCGCAAGGGCCACAGAAATTCACTGATTTTATGATCTGCGGTCGATGCACGGCCGCTGTGCGACAACTGTGACAGGGGTATTATGTGGTTTCAAATGTAATTCTGCATTACATAGGTCACGTCATGATTAACAATGGAATATATGTATTCATTGAATATAAATTGTAAACTATTGAATCAAGTATAGATGTCTCGACGTTCTTTCAATAAAAGTCATATTAATACAACCATGTAACATATACTAATAATATTTAGTCCACTGGACCTTAATTACTACACCAGGTCAATCAATTAAAATAATGATGCCCTTTACTTGATTGAAATTCGACACTAATGACAAATGAAGTTAAATTGACTTTCATTCATGATCAAAACGCTAGATGGAAAAGATAGGCGATAATGATTTTGAAAACAATATCATTTTAGATCCATTGTTTCGAATTTCAATGATAGACTGTGCTCTGTTACTACATACGGTAATTGTTTAAATAATCGCAAGCAGACAAGCCATGATGGGAACGATGACTGCGCTTATTACGCTAGGATGTGCATCTCTTGTAAACACTGCAGCATATCATTGTCAATACCCCTGTTCCCCGCGACGTTTTGGTAAGTACAACGGTTTTGGAGTCATTGATTTTGCGCTGCTCGTTGTCAATTCTGCTGATTTTGAAATATAAAAAAAAACAGAATGAAAATTTGAAAATAGTCTAACAGTTATTAAATAAATTCTTTTTACATTTACAAGTTTCCCAAGTCTTGCTCTTTATTTGTGTTGGATTTTATGAACCCTGCTTCATTATTCATATCAACAAAGAATGTTTTGTGTAAATGGTGCCGTGTAAATTACAGACTGATCTGAACATTATATAACATCTTGGAGACACCGTAAATTAAAGAGATATGTCTCCCATTGACGACATATACATCTCACTCCATCTCTTTGTTTTGAGAGGGTTCAATGGGCATATTTCTGAAAGTTTCTGCTGAGACTTAAATTTCATTTTAACCAAAGGAATGAACTAGAAACTAAAACAAACAGAGGGGATAAATAATGATAAATATATTTATTCATCTAGGTACATTGGTGAATTGTTTCGCTGATCCATGTGAAGGATCCAAACCAAAATGTCCGGCATGTCAAGCTGCAACTTGTCAGTAAGGCATTAGTATTATAAATGGACAACTTGCTTAATATATTAATAGCTAGGAGGCAGCACTTGTGTTGGTAGGGCCAGAATGCAAGTCATGACATGGACATAACATGATAAGACCTCTATAATTTTGTTGACATTCGAATTGTGATTTAACATTTAAATGGTAGTCTTTCGAAATGTAACTTTTAAAGATTATTAACATTTTGCCAATTTGGGATCCAACCCGACCTTTCTTCTACCATTGGGTGCTATATTGTAATCAGTTTGTTGTGCTGTGGTGGTCGGTTGGTCTGTTGGGAAGACGGGTAGCTATAGGCAGGTGTCCAGATTGATCTGGTCTACAGGTTTCACTAATCTGAACAAAGCCCGTATGAAAAAGCCCGGAAGTTTAATAAATAATTGCAAACTTTAGAGAAATTACTAACAAATTAACTAGTTTTATTATCGTTCGGAGTATTATAATGACCTCAAAACCATTTTTAGCTCTTCTCCCCTTTCATTATGTAAAGTTTCGAGGGTCTTTAATCTTTATACTTGTTTTAGTTTCTACTTTTTTCGATTTTTCAAAGAATTGATTCATTTGTTTCAGAAAAAATGCTGTCATTCCATACCTCTAATTTTCTTTACGTTTCAGATTCTTATTTTGTTTTCAGATCGAATTATTGTGGAGGATGTAATTACTTTTTCAAGCTTGGCAGAAAGAAAATTTGCGACTGCGGAGTAGTCAGTGAGTTATATACTGTCAACTACTAAGTGGACTGTTATAGGACATACCCCGCTTGAGACTATTTTCACACAAGGCCGTGTCAACCTTTTCTCCCTTTACGATTCTTAGACATTTCTGCAGTTACAATCTTTAACACTTGTATAATGGATCAAATGTCCGTTATTTTGTCACATAAGGATTGTAAATCAAATTTACGTATTTTTGAAGGAATTGCCTCAAACATTTTATGCTCTCTATGCCTTGATGTCACTTTTTACTGCAACAATCTTTCAGAGTGTGCTGACAAAGAACTGGTGAATTGTTCCGTTGACCCATGCTTAAATGTGGATACTTCCAATGGAGTCATTTGCCTGTAGGTTTTATTTCCGTTATATCTTCCTAATCGAATACCTTTATGAGATATCACAGCTGAACAAAATACCACGTATAGTATGGCAAGTGCTTTTAGACGGTCATATATTTCACCATGAGTACTTTCTTGGCATAAATACAGTGGTTTTTATTTAAACAATATATGTTTTCTTTCAAGTGAGGTACATGTACCCATGATGATAAAATATAAATCGAACAATTAAAAACATTACGAATAATTAAAAACATTATTCAGCAAGGGGTCTAAGACACGTTCAAAAATAGGATGGTTTTGAAAGTCTAGTTTTGAAGATATCAGTTTTCGATGACCAAAATTATGCTGAAAACAATGGATAGCATGAGTTTTCCCTATGGGAAAATAACATGGGATATGTGGTTTTTAACTTTAACTCATTTCAATACCAACCCCCTTTTCGGAATTTTTTATATAGTGTAGAGGAGACTTTCGATATGTTTAAATTGAGAAAAACAAGATCCTCTTTTTAGAAAATAAGCCTAACATTTTTCCAAAAGTGCCAAGGTGGGGCCCTAATCCATAATTCTTCAGAGAGTTGGATTGATATTTTACTATCATTGGGACTTCACTCGAAAGAAAACATATTGTTTTAATAAAAGCCATTGTATTTGTGGCCAGAGAGTACTCATGATGAAGGACATGAATGTCTAAAATTACTTGCCATACTGCACGTGGTCCTTTGAAACATTTTACAGGTCCAACTACTGCGGTGGATGCAACAAAGTTTGTTACAAGAACTGCAGGAAATTACCCAGGTGTCCAATGCTAAATTAATAAAAGCTTTAATTATGATACGTCCTATGTTTTATGTTGTGTCATGATATTGGGGGCTGACAAGACATTCCATCCTTTGAAAGTTTGGAGACGTGACTTTGACGTAATGTGCTAATTTTTTTTAATATCGACACATCTACAATTTATTACAAATTAATGCCATATTCTAGATTGGCTCTTCTTAAAGGTTATAGGGGTTTTCCAGTGTTTGGTCTATAAGTATTTTGCAACCTCATATGAGTCGAGAATCCATACATTAGAATTTTGGCCAGACGCCTTGGGTTTCTTGAGACAATTAAACAAAATATTAATTTGTTCACGATATTTTATTATATTTAGATATTTCAACATGTTCATAAATTGCCGACACTTAATATCTGTTTGTCGTCACAAATCAAATGAAATATTACAAAATATCAAGAACATCTCTAAGCATTCCTATAATACAAATTGAACCATCTTTCACCAAGATATGAAATTATGAAGAAAGGGTGCTTGAAAATGAATGCATTTATAGACGTAAGAATGCAGAAAAGCTATTGGGACAATTTCACTCACTTATTTTGGGTTTTTGTGGATAAAACCTATATAACTCTTTATTAAGCTGCTGAGCAAGCTTGCCTGCCATTTTTAGGACAATTCCTGAACCAGTGGCCCAAGATAAATATCTTACCTTTCTAGAGCGGCAGCCTATGACCCTGAATACAACAGAACAACAGAGAATTCTCATTTGAACTGGACACTTTTCAATTTTCAAAAATTTGCGGCGAATGTTATGTGTTCTTGGGTGCTCAACATTTGGTGACGTCATTAATCTATGCACAGCAAACACATTTTCATGGGAAATATTCATTTAGGGTTAGTATTGAAGAGCCTACAGTTCAGGATGCTTAAATGAACCAAAAAGCTTATAAAACTTGTTTACCGAACGTTTAAAAATCCCCAAAGGAGCCCCCTTGCTAAATTTCTCACTGAAGAGAATTTCTCCGATTATTTTCATTATTTCCATAATAAATTGTTTCAAAATGGTCTAAACTTATACATCATGTTTTTAATTTAATTATTTAACATATTTTTTTTACGTAAAAGTCGTGTAAAAGA